ACCGTTTGACAATCCCACCAGTCTTTAACAGTCAAACCACGAAGATTTGAAAAAGCCCAGTTGGCTCCTACAGTTGGATTCGCAACAAAGTCAGTCATTCCTGTGCCAACACCGTGCACACCGGAATACATGTTCGCACTCGAATATGCTGGATCGCTGCTGTATTGTCGGGTCAATCGGAAGTCTTTACCGCTCACTGCAACGACCAAGTCACTGATTGTTTCCCATTTTTCACCTGTTTCCCAGTTGACAGGATGATTTCCGTTCCCCGGATCTCCCGCGTCTGCGGGCGGTTCACCTTTATCGCCGCTTCCGCAATCGTCACAATCACTTTCATCTCGACAGACTTCACCTTCACCCTCATCGTTTGGATCACCACCTTGCTGCCCACCCCCACAGTCACCGCCGTCACAATCTGCCGAATCACCGTCACCTTCACCGCCGCCGGCATCTCCCCCACCCCCGCCGCTCTCACTCGCCGCGGCAATACAAGAGTCCACCGGCATCAGGAATGCACTGAAGATTGCCAACCCGAAGCACATACTTTGAATCGAACCGTCAAAACGGATCCGGAGAACTTTCCGCACCGATCCTGCTAAGGCTTGTACTGAACGGGTGGTAAATCGAGTGAGCTTGACCATGATGTGCTCCAAGTATTTTCTATTTCAAATCAAATGTACAATCACACAGACTTGCTGCATGCGATTTGCACTTTATCAAACATGAATCAGTTATGCGCGACACACAATCAAAATTGTGTATACTCTGAGCAGCACATTGTTTTCATTTGCCTTATTGAACAAAAGGAGTTCAGGGAATGCATCTTTCAAAGAAACTATGCGTAATGACTATCAATACGGCTGTCATGGCAATCGGTGCGCCTGCGTTTAGCGCTTCCTTCACACAACCGACCTCTGCTGAAATCAGTATGGCCGCAATCATCCTCGGTCTTTCCAGTGATGCGTTGGCATGCGTTGACGTACAACCAAACGAAGTCCCGACTGTTCTTGATAGACTCTCCGAAGAATACAGCTCATACGCTCAACTTCTTGCCAAACAGGAAGACGCCAAGAATGCGGAACAGCTGGTGATGGAGTGCAAGAATCTGCTCCGAAACGATCCCCAGAATGCTACTCTGCTCCAGCAGCTTCAAGACGCTCAGTACAATGCCACAACCGCACACTACTTGGCGGCCCAGATACGAGAGGGCTTGCTCAATACAGTTTTGGATGAGCTTGCTGATCCGTCAATGATTGATGAAGTCTTCTTCCGTTCAGGTGTTTATCAATCACTCTCGCCAGCATACCGGCTCGCAGCTGATACTTTTGAAGAAGCCAAGAGTCTCGCATGGGCGCTGGAATGCCAGCGGGATGCTGACTCATCCGGATCTTCAATGCCTTCTGAAGCATCGACAGTCCTGAACACAGCAAACTCACAGTACGATGTAAATACCGGCTTGATCCGGATGCAGCAGTACAGCTCTGGGAATGAAGCGGCCTTTCAGCAATGGGTAGTGACCAACTGATTGACACACTCGCAAACCCGAGACTAATAAACTACATCTCATGATTTGATTAACAATCTTTCTGGAGCCATACTCACTGCTTCCGCTGGCTGCATGGTGACTCATTCGTTAGCTTCAGTGAAATGTCGTCCTTCAATGCGATGTTCCTCACGGAATTATCTGTCCGCCCATCTATAGATCGATGATTCAGGTGGCTGTGTTCTTGTTCGCCGACTATTTCATCTTGACCATTTGCTGCTTTGTGATCGGCTAATCGTGATTCTTTGGTTGCTTGAGCACGATTAAAATTGATCAAGGTCGCACCGGCTATACACTACAGGCGCAACATCCTTTCAAATCCAACCACTCCTCAGCATACAGGCGATCACGAATCAACGATCGCATCAGGATCTGACCATCGGTGGATATTCCACTGACAGTTACCCGAGCGCTTTGTCTAATACAAGGGGGTTATTACCTTTCTGTGTCTCGAATCCCGGTGTGTCTACTGCTATCCAGAGATGGTCGACATGTCAGTGATTATTGAAGTGCTGCTACACACAAGAGAGAACACATCCATGGGATTCGACCACTCACTGCACACCTGATCCGATCAGATCGACATTCATCATTATGGCGAGAAAATCCAGCGCAATCTGCGGGCACTTGATGTCATTTCTCGCATCACCGACAATCCGAATATGTATTTGATACTATTTGCAACACGATGCACACGCCTGCAGGACTGTTGCATGCAAGACACGCAATTAGAAATCATCTATCACTCCACTTTGCTTTACTGTTGGGTGGGTCGCACACCGGTCAATGAAGTCGCGTCCAAGCAAGTGGAAATGTTTATTTTCGACATCGAATCTGGTGATATCAGCAAATTCAAAGATGACAATTCATACGGACACGAGACAGTGTATGACAACGAGCGGTTCCATGGGAAGTTCCATAGGTACTGGCATGATCAATAATCTGCTAGAGCACTCGATCTCGCTGTGTAGTTGATTTGCACCAGTATGCCCTAGAGTTGACATGATCTGATCATGAGATCTATGAGACCACATGGACTTCGCCGCACTAATTTATTTAAACCGAATGCCGCAACGTTCATTAGGCTGTTGCATTTATGTATCCACGCCAACAAATTTTCTATCAAGCGACTCTAGATTGTATTTGAACAAGTAATTGTAAGGACATGATTCAGAACTCACGCCCATACAAGCTTGACCGGTGTCAGCCCACCATCTTCATCCTCGATGCAGATGGTTTTTCCATCAGTCGAGTTCTCCCAAACAAACTCGTATACCGCGAGCGATCGCCTGATCACTTCGGTCAAGCTGTCAGCACCAGTCTCATCGCGGAGATTCTCAAGACGCTCGCGCACCTCCGGATTCACCGCGAGAGTCAACCGGACCGTCTCTCTGTTTTTTGCTGGTCTTGGCATGTAGATTCCATTCGAAGACGACGATCAGCACGATCAACAGTGCGAGGAAGCCGCGTAACCAGTCGCTCCCAGGGGCAAGCACAATCGAGGCCCCAAGAGTTACGATGGCAAACACAGGCACGACCTGCCTGGTTGTCGCTCGAGATGAAATCGCTTCAATAGCACTAAAAGCTTTGTAATCAGGTGATACTGGTGAGTTCATTCCCGCGTGCTCCTTCAGGGAGCTCGCGGCATGAACGCACGAGGTGAGTCATTGGATGTGTCATCCTAGATACTCCCTGTACGCCCGAGCCAAGCATTCTGTTCGATCTAGACCGCGATGCCAAGCACCAACGAGCACAGAATTGAATGGTTTGGACAGTAAATAACTATCGACTTACGAAGAGCTTTGTTACAGTGCCGCATCCGAAATTCAATAATCATACAAGTCAGCGGCCACATCCAAACATCACACTCATGAACCCAGATCGAAAGGTGTCGCTGTATGAAATGACAGGATGCATAATTCTGTGGGACTCCCACTCTACAGTGGGATCCATAACAGCAACATGTTATACGCATTACATGCGCATGTCAATCGCTTGGCTCCCAGACCAGGAAAAATCATCCACATCTTTAGTGTGTGTTTGCGATTTCATCTCAGATGATCCCAGATGAATACTCGTGATCCCCGAAGCGATTCAAAACCAGAGCACAACTCGCGCAAACGAAAACCCCCGCCCCCCGTCAAACGCTCACGCGGCAGAGATCCCAGCCACCGAACAAACCCACCGTGCGATCAGCGCACAAAAAAAGCCCGCCCGACAACCGTCGAGTGAGCCCAATCAAGCCACAACCCCCAACCAACCCCAAAGCCGCAGCACCGAACCCCAAATCAAGCCACAAACCCCAAAATCCCCCCCAAATTGCGACTGAAACCAACCTGCGTTAAACCCACCCCCGACGGAGGACCCAAGCCGGTGGGGGGTCTCAGAGCCCGTCTGAGGGCCGTCAGATTCCGACCTCTACATCGCGGTTTTGACTTGGAGAAGGGGGTGCGGGGGGAATTCGGATCTCAAGAACAAACCAGGAAGGCTTGTTGGTACAAGCCACAGATAGTCTGCTCCTGACTAGTCACGATTCAAGGATCATGGAATGGATTAGAGCTGAGAATACTGGAACTGACCTGAGTGGGGTGTCCTCAACCAAAAGCATCATAAACCCAATTACTGAGGTTCATTCTGAGCGTTTGATGTAGTGGCAACAATAAGCTGATTCACATGCAGCCAACTTGACTCTGCATTCCTCATACTATCTCTCTCATACTGTTCCACCACCACATTCATCATGAGTGAATTGGCGGACTATCATCTGGACCGCATCTCGCTGGTCCTGAGACATGGTTGACCATGCCTTGACAATAGTGCCAAGGTCTTCATGCATGTCAACGGGGCATCCAGCGGAGCACACCCTAGTTATGACCGTAATATCGCCGGTTTTACGGGGGTTCGAGTCCCCCCTCCGGCACTTTTTAGGGATAGACCGAGAACTGATCTGATATTGATCATCAGCATGGAGTGACAGAACGATGGCCGAACAACAACCACAGCAACAGCAGGTCCAGCTCCGCATCGACGAATCGAAGATGCACACGACTTACGCGAACACCATCCGCAACTCCAACACGCAGGAAGAGTTGATCATGGACTTCGGACTGAACATGCCGATGCAGGTCCCTGGACAAGCGCCGATGATGGTGTTCTCTGTGGGATCCCGCGTTGTGATGAACTGGGCGGGCGCGAAGCGTCTGGCGATGAGCATCGGCGGCGCTGTTCGTCAGTACGAGGAGCGGTTCGGCGAGATTGACATCAATCCGCAGCAGCCGGCTGGTGCTCAGAATGATGCTCCACCTCCGAGCACGAACTGATTGCTTGATTCCGGTCAAAAAACTTGCTTTTTCATGACCGGCTGAATGAACTTTGACATCATTGTGTTGTAGAACCCACAGTGGCCTGTACTCATGCAAGGGCACTGTTTTTTCTGTAAAGTTGACACATTGATCCGATGGCTGAGCCATGGACACTGCTGAGTAACAAGGAGGTCGCTTTGGGAGTTTCGATTTCAGAGGCGCCGAGTAATGAGTTGATCGCGTCGCAAGCACAACCGATCAATGAACTGATTCAAGCTGTTGGGACAGTGGTTGTAGGTCAGGAGCAGATGATCCGCTCGCTGGTGATCGGCTTATTGACAGGTGGGCATGTCCTTCTTGAGGGTGTTCCTGGGCTTGCGAAGACGCTGACGGTAACGACGCTCGCGCAGGCACTGGAAGCGGAGTTTGCACGCATCCAGTTCACTCCCGATCTACTGCCAGCGGACTTGATTGGTACGGAGATCTACAACCCCAAAGAATCGAGCTTCACGGCTCGGAAGGGACCGATCTTCGCAAACATCGTGCTAGCGGATGAGATCAACCGCGCTCCGGCGAAGGTGCAGTCTGCGCTGCTCGAAGCGATGCAGGAACGACACGCAACGATTGGCGGCGAGACCTATTCACTCACGGGTGAGGGTGAGCCGTTCTTGGTGCTTGCGACGCAGAATCCGATCGAGCAGGAAGGGACTTATCCGCTTCCGGAAGCACAGGTCGATCGGTTCATGCTCAAGATCAAGGTTGGCTACCCTACGAAGGACGAGGAGCGGCTGATTGTTGATCGGATGATGAGCACGCTGGAGATCCCCGAAGTCTCCTCGATGATGTCGCTTGAGCAGGTTGGCGCTGCACGGAAGACAGTCGATTCGATTTACATCGATGAGAAACTCAAGAACTACATCGTCTCGATTGTTCAATCAACGCGTGATCCATCCACGGCTGGGGTGCCTTGGAAGTTGGACATGGAGAAACTCATTGAGTTTGGTGCTTCACCTCGCGCTTCACTCTCGCTTGCTCGCGCTGCTCGAGCCAATGCGTTCTTGGAAGGACGCGGCTTTGTCACGCCGAGCGATGTGAAGATGATCGGGATGGACGTGCTACGTCATCGTGTGATGATCTCTTATGAGGCGGAAGCGGAAGGTGTCACGAGTGAGGACCTGGTGCAGGAAGTGTTCGATCGGATCCCGATCCCTTGAGTAGTCACGATTCAGTGAGGGCATTCCACGCATGATTACTGAAGAACTCATGCAGGCGGTTAAGCGGCTGGAAATCCGTGCACGGCGACGGGTGGATGACCTGTTCGGTGGGAGCTATCACTCGGCGTTTAAGGGGCAGGGGATCGAGTTCTCTGAGGTGCGAGAGTATCAGCCGGGGGATGATGTCCGTTCAATTGATTGGAATGTGACGGCGAGAATGGGGCGGCCGTTTATCAAGCGTTTTGAAGAGGAAAGGCAGCTGACCGTCGTGCTCGCGGTGGACTGCTCAAGGTCTACAGCGTTTGGGACAATCAGGCGTTCGAAGCATGAACTTATGAGTGAGGTGGGTGCTGTGCTCACGCTCGCGGCTGGCCGGAACAACGACAAGGTGGGGTTGTGCTTGTTTGGGTCGGACCACCTGGAAGATGGGAAGACGCTGCATGTTCCGGCGACGAAGGGACGGCTCCATGGGATGCGGATTATCCGTGAGCTGATTGACGCTTCGCCGGGAAACAACCAAGAAGATCTATCGTCTGTGCTGATGGAGATCGGACGAACGCACAAACGGCGGTGCATCGTGATCGTGATGTCGGACTTTTTATCGGGGATGAACAATGAAGGCGAGCCACGCTGGGGGCGCGAGATGCGGATGCTCGCTCGCAAGCACGAGGTCATCGCGGTGCAGTTCACTGATCCTCGCGAGTTCGAACTCCCTCGCGCGGGCATGATCCGCATGCATGATCCGGTGAGTGGCAAGCGGTTCCTCGTTGATACTGGATCAAAGAAAGTACGCACTCGGTATCGAGAGCGTGCGATCGCAGAAAATGAGATGATTGTTTCAACACTGAAGAATGCACAGATCGATCACATCGAGCTCTCGACTGGTCATGATTACGCGGATGAGTTGATCCGTTACTTCCATCAGCGAGGTATGCGGAGATGATGCGTGCGCTGCGAATACAGATTGTGATTGGAGTGGCGCTTGCTCTGCTGCTCGGCGGATGCGGAGGGACGAGTCCTGAGGGTGGTGTCCAGGAGTCCGCATTGGAGTCGACGATTGTCGAACCTCGCACAGGAGCGGAGTTGATGGTGATGCTCGATCAAGATTCGATCGAGTTGACGGAATCTCTGACGATCCGAGCCGTGCTTCAGTGGGATGATGGGGTTCGTGTTGAGTTGATTCAACCAAACTGGGTGGAACTGGGGTGGACAGTGGAAACTGAGAGCAAAGGGGCGGTGACCTTTGATGGTGAACACTTCATACGCGAGGATGTCTTTGTCGCATCACCGTTCCTTGGGGGTGAGTACTTGGTTGATGGGTTTGGGATTCGAGCCGGGACAGCGGAGATTGGCAAGCGTATCGCGCGACTGGCTCCGATTGAAGTTCTGGTCGATTCAGTACTCAGTGAAGATGATGGCAGCGAACTGGAGGGGGAAGTGTTGCTTGCGGGGATGCCGGAAGAAGAGACCGCAGAGGATCATACTGGCGTGATCGCGATCTTTTCGGGAGTCTGTGTTGTGATCGGAGGCTTGGCGGTGTGGTATATCCGTCGAACTCACGAAGACGAAACGCAAGGGGTTGATCCGGCTTCAGTGTTGATGATCGCCGCTCACGCGGAGCGCTTGAATGATGAAGACATTGGCTCATTGCATCGTGCACTGATCGAGTTGAAGGGTCAGTATGGCGGGCTCGGGGTGATCGCACGCGAGGTGGAGTCGGCGCGGTTCTGCGGTGAAGAGATAGACACAGCAGCCGTGCGGGACGCGGCACGACGCGCGGTTGAAATATGCGGGGTGGCGGGATGAATGCGGAGTTCGCATATCCTTGGGTGCTTTGGTTTGCGTTGATCGTGCCGATCATCTGGGTGATCCGTGTGCTTGGGGATCGACGGAGGAGGGGCGTAGAATCGTCTGTCCCCTCGCGCATTGCCGCAGCGGGTATGAGTCTGCGTACGCGTTTTCGTTGGGTTACTCCCCTGCTGCTCTCGCTTGGATTGCTTGCGGGGCTCGTCGCACTGGCTCGTCCTCGCGAAGCGATCACGGATCGCAAGAGTCAGCAGGATGCGATCGCGATCGAGCTTGTTGTTGACCGATCGGGATCGATGAAAGAGCCGGCTGAGTTTGAGGGTACGCGGACAACCCGATTGATCGCGGTGAAGAAGGTGGTTGAGCAGTTCGTGGTGGGCAACGGGAAGGAACTCAAGGGGCGTGCGGGTGATCTGCTCGGTCTTGTGGTGTTCGGAACTTATGCCGACACGATGATGCCGTTGACACAGTCACATGATGTACTGGTGGATGCGATTCGACGCGTGGAGATCCCGCGTGTGGAAAGCGAGCGGTCGACTGCGATTGGTGATGCGCTGGTGCTCGCATGCGCTCGACTCAAAGCATCAGAAGATTCGATGAAGGCGGATCTAGATGATCCAAACTTTGAGATCAAAAGCAAAGCGATCATCCTGCTGACCGACGGCGAGAATCGCGCGGGGGATTACTCCCCTGATCAAGCGGCTCGGCTGGCGGCGGAATGGGGTATCAAGATTTACATCATTGGGATCCGTGGCGGGGTGCGGAACCAGTTCGGTGGGTTGGCATTGGGTATGGGGCAAGAGGTCAATGAACGACGGATGAGTGCCGTCGCAGAACACACAGGAGGCGGGTTCTGGGGTGTGAGTTCGCTTGATGATCTCGCGGATGTGTACGCGACGATTGATGAACTCGAACGCACGGAAGTGCAGATTTCCGAAACGACGCGGTATGAGGAGTTGTATCACCCATTTGCGGTTGGCTGTTTAATTCTGATGCTTGGTGGTTATGTATCGCGGATCGGGATCGCTGGGGAGGTGGCATAATGGGTATTGCGAGTTTGATGCCGACATTCTTGGGTGAGGACTTCGAGTTCGCGGATTGGCGGTGGGCGCTGGCGCTCTGGGGTGTGATTGCGTTGGTGGTTGTTGGTTTCATTGCGGCGCACTATCGCGTGAAAGTGGCACGCAAGTTTGCGGACAGTGATCGCCTCCCGATGCTGTTTGGTCGGCGGAGATCATTGATCGTTGGGGCTCGAGGGATCGCGATGGTGCTTGGATTGGTATTGATTGTGGGCGCGACGATGCGGCCTCGCGCCAATCCGCATCAGGAAACCACTGAAGCGAAGGGACGCGACATTGTGTTCCTCGTCGATGTGTCTCGCTCGATGCTTGCGCGGGATGTGGCCCCGAATCGGCTGGAACGCGCCAAGCTCTGGATCACGGACTTGGTTGCGGAGCTTGAGACTGATCGCATTGGTCTGGTTGCGTTTGCAGGATCGTCTTCGGTGCAATCGCCTTTGACAACCGACCGATTGTTCTTTGATCTGGCGCTCGATGAGTTATCACCCAAGTCCGTTGATATGGGCGGCACCAATATTGGCGACGCAATCCGTCGGTGTATGGACATGGTTTTCTACGATCTCGAAGATTCCGACAGTGCTTCGCATCGCGACATCATCCTGATTACTGATGGCGAGGATCAAGAATCGCTTCCGATTGAAGCGGCAACCGCGGCGGGTGCGGCCGGAATTCGGATCTTGGCGCTGGGGATTGGTTCAGAGGGTGGTGCACGAGTGCTTGACGAAGACAATCGTCCTGTCCGTCAGGGCGGCGAGTTTGTGCAGTCCCGACTTGATTCTGGAACGCTCTCAAAGATTGCAACGGCGACACCTGGCGGGGCGTACCTGGAGATCGGGACGGGTGATATTGATCTGGCGCAGGTGTATCAGGACCTCATCGCTCGCGGAGATCAAGCGAACATCGGGAGCGCTACGGTGACCCGATGGGATGAGCGGTATGCGATCGCGCTCGCTCCGGGCTTGATGCTGATCTGTCTTGAGATGATGCTTGCTGGATTTGGGTTGCGCAAGGAGGTCGTGTCATGAAGATGCTCGTTGTACTCTTGCTGTTTGTCTGTGGCCTGCGTGCACAGGAGATCGATCCGATGGTGCACCTCCAGACGGCGCTGCATGTTCAGGAGGACGACACTGAGTATGCGATGGAGTTGTACAGCGAGGTGCTGGATCTCTCTGATGATGATTCCGCTCGCTATGTCGCGGCGCTCAATCGTGGTGTGCTCGCGATGCGGGGCGACGAACCAGATTTGTCATTCGCTGCGGAGTCTCTGCGGTTGGCTGGACGGTATGCGACTACGCAAGGGCAACGCCGGGATGCGATGTTCAACCTTGGGCATGCGCTGAATCGTGGTGTTGATGTGAGTGGCCAACTCATGATGGATCCGGAGCAGATTGGGAAGATGATTGGTCAGCTCAGAACTGTTGAGCGTGCGTTTTTGAGTGCTTCACGTGCTGATCCAGAGCATAAAGAGTCCAAACGCAATGTTGAACGCATCCGAAACCAGATCAAGCAGCTTGAGGATCTGAAGGAGCAGATCGAACAGCAACAACAAGAGCAGCAGCAACAGCAAGGCGAGGACGGGGAACAGGGCGGTGAATCTCAGAGCATGTCCGATCAGCTCCAGGACCTAGCGGATCAACAACGAGAGCAGGCTCAGGAGAGCGAGTCGGCTTCGCAATCTCAACAGCAAAATCAGCAAGAACGAGCGGAGCAGCAAGAAGAACTGTCAGATCAGACACAGCAAGCAAACGAGCAGCTCAGACAACAGCAGCAGAGTGATGAGCAAACTCAGCAAGATCTTCAAGACGCGATGGAATCGCAGCAACAGGCGCAGGAGGCGATCGAGCGGGGAGACAACGAGACCGCTGCTGAGAAGCAGCAAGAAGCCGCGGACGCTCTGGAGCGCGCGGCTCAGCGGATGCGTGAGTCAGAGCAAGAGCAAGAATCCGATCAGCAGCAAGGTGAACAGCCTGGACAACCAAGTGAACAGGTCGGAGAGGATGGAGAGCCGATCGACGAGCTTGCGCAGCAACTGCTCGATAAGGAACGCGATGAGCGTGAACGTCGACAGGCGTATCGCGCGACCGGGCGTCCGGTGCAGGTGAAGGAGGACTGGTGATGTTGAAGTCTTTGGTATGTGCTCTTGTGTTCGCGTTGAGTATGATGGCTGACGCGTATGCACAAACCGGGGATGATGTCTCGCTTGAAGCTGAGCTTTCTCGGCAGCGGGCTTATGTTGGCGATGTTGTTACCTATCAAGTTTTGGTTCGGGGGGCTGATGACGCGACTCCGCCTGTAGTTGATTTCCCCTCCAATGTGCGAGCAGAGTATTTAGGAGCATCATCTCAGAAGTTCACGACGATGCGTTCTGTCAATGGAAGACAACGCGCCTTCACCGATGCGTATTACAAGCATCAGTATCAAGTGATGGTCGTCGCTGAGGGTGATATTACGATCCCAGCAGCCGTGCTGAATGTGAATGGACAACGCCATCAATCCAATGCGGCTCGGATGGTCGGACTTCTTCCGCAAAGAGCTGAGAGCGATATCGTCGAGATTGAACTTCCTGATCGACCTATTTATGTTGGGGAGTCCGTTGTTGCTCGTGTAAGCTGGTGGATCAGCGATCAGACTTCAGGGACGAATTTCAATAGCTCGGTTTTTCCTGACTCGATGCGTGTTGTTCCGAAGACGCCGGCAGGTTTAAATGGCGACGAGCACTCGATCTCTTTGCTTGGGGAGAACATCGTTTCATTCTTGGATCAGAGTCTGTACCAGGGCTCGCGGATGTCCCGCCTTCGCTTTGATCTGGTCATCACTCCCACGCAAGCAGGGGAGTTTGAGATCGGACCTGTACGCGTTGTGTTTACACGGCAAGACGGCTTCTCGCGATCGACTCGGATGTTTGCGGAATCTGATGCCCGTTTAGTGAGCGTGATCAATGTGCCTACGGCGGGCATGCCGGCTGGTTACAACGGCATGATTGGCACTTACAAAGTACTCTCGGATGCGTCTAATACACAGGTGAATGTGGGCGATCCGATCGACATCCGTGTGCTGGTCGCGGGTACAGAACCGATGCTTGGGTTAGAGAAGACCCTGAATGTGCAATCACTTGCATCGGAGGGATTCCGTGTATCTCCTGAAGGCTGGAAAGAACTGGAACGACGGCGGAGCGGCGAGCGGTTGTTCACAACAACTATCCGTGCTCTCGATGATTCAGTGAGTCAGATTCCGGGGATTGCACTCCCGGCGTTCAATCCAGAAACTGGTTCGTTCGAGGTGTTTGAGTCTGATCCGATCCCGATTCGTGTACGGGCGGTTCGATCTGTGACGCTTGATGATGCCGTGGTTTCGAGTGTGCAAACAGAAACTTCCCCAACCGCGAATCGGGGGACACTGGAGCTTGGGGCATCACGGTTCTGGTCGCATCCTGACGCCGACGCGATTCGGAATGGACCTCGCTCATTCTCATTGCAGAGAGTTGTCCGCGATCCGGTTTGGCAAGGAGCAATCGGATTGATCGTTGCACTTCCTTGTTTGGCGGTGGGATATGTGGGGTTCATCCGGCACACTGATCCGAAAGTCGCCGCTGTTCATCGTGCGTGGAAGAAAGCATCCAAGCTCCACTCTAAGGGCGACGATGTGCAGGCGATCCGTGTGTATGCTGGTGCGTTGCTTGGTGTTGAACCCGATTCGATCAGCGGAGCTGATTTGAATCGACTGGGCATCTCCAATGAGTTGATCGAACGATCGACGGTCGTGCTTGGTGGAAACGAGGGGAATCAATACGGGCGTTCTGACGAGCAGCAAACAGACGGCTCACTCCTTCGAGCGATTCGTCATGATGTTCGCAAACGCGGGCTGACTCGAACGACCTCGACAAAGCGGAGGGTGCTGGCATGAACCACCTTTTGAATACATGTCGATTATCGATCGCTGTTCTTTTGCTTGGAGTCTTTGCTCAGTGTGTTTGGGCGCAAGAGGGCAGTGCATCACTTGAGGACGCGATCGCAGCGCTTGATCGTGCGATCCAATCAACTGAATCTGAGAGCAGAACACAGTTGATCCAAGAATCGGCGGCCGAGCTTACCTTCGTAATGCAGCGAGAGGGAATTGAATCCTCAGCGGGTGAGTTTGCTCTTGGGAACGCGTACTTCATCTCGAACGATCTTGGGAGATCAATCCTGCACTATCGGAGGGGGCTTTCGATTGACCCTACTGATAAAGCGATGCGAGAGAATCTTGAGCACGCACGTTCGTTCGTTGAGCCGACGGTTCCTCAGGAGGAGTCTGGATGGGATTGGAAGCAAGCGTTGCTGATATGGCGAGGCTTTGTTGGTCGATGGACGATCTGGTATGGATCAATCGCGCTGCTCGGTATTGCGAGCATGCTCATCACCGCGTCTGTCCTGAGCAGCACGAGACTGAAACTCGTTCGGAGTGCTTTGGTTTGCGTGCTGCTTGGATTCGCGGGGATCTCGCTTCTTTGGTTGGACTTTTCCAGCGGGACGGATCGGAAAGGCATCGTTGTGGTGATGCCTGGAACAGAGATGTACTCTGGACCTGGTAGCGGTGTATATACCGAGGTATACAGCGGCGCGTTAGGAATAGGAACAGAGGGTGTTGTCCGCGAGACCAAAGGAGACTGGGTCCGCATCGAGCTCCGCAACACACAGAATGGGTGGGTTCCTGCGGACTCGATTGAACACATCGAGATCGGTGCTTAAACGTATCGAAACTGATCAGGCACTCTGTGGCTTGGATGCGGTGCTGCATGAAGTGCAGTTGACTTTGTTCCATGGCATCTTTCCCAGAAGCATCGCCATGCCGCACCATCCGGTGATTCCGGCGAAGGTGAGTCCGGCACCGACAAAGGCACTGAGGTAAACAAAGTTGATGTTCACCGCGAGTGCGAGGATTGCTCCGCTGAGTACGAGCAGGCCCGCCACGATGTGTACTTGACGGATGATGTCGAGCTTTGGTGCATTCGCGGAGCGGATGGTTGGTTTACCAGACTGTCTCCAGTTTGCGATCCCCCCTGCGAGGTGGAACACATCCTCGTCTGTGTTCTTGAATCGGGTCGCGGCGTCGGTGGACCGGCCTCCTGTACGACAGTGAAAGACGACACGCTTGTTCGGATGCTCACCGCGTAATGACTCAGCGTCAAACTTGCTCAGGGGGTGGTGGCGAGCGTCTTTGATCCGCTCGGTCGCGTGCTCGAAATCTTCACGGACATCGACGAGGACGGCAGTGCCGTCTTTGAGCCAAGTCTCGAGGAGTTCGGGAGAGACATCGATGACTTTGACTTCTTCATTGGTGATTGTTGCACTCATGATCAGTCTTTCATTTGGTGTGTGCGGGCTGGGATTCCTGCCAAGCGTTCCAGCCGCCTTTGAGGTTGATGACATCGAAGCCCTTGCGCTGTAGGAATGAACTCGTGCGAGCAGATCGGCACCCACTCAGACAGCTGACCAAGAGTTTCTTATCCTTAGGGAGTTGGTCTAATTGGTCCGCAATGCGTGTGTGCGCCGAGTTGATCGCGCCTGACAGATGCGCAGCTTCAAACTCGGTAGCGCGTCGCACATCGAGGGGCTGAAGGTCTTCGTCCGATTCGATCTCGCTCGATGCTTGTTCGACGGTGTACTGCTTTGTTTGAACAAGCTTGTCAGCGATTGGCGCTAGATCGGATGGGTCGACCCATCCGATGATGTGGTCGAGTCCGACTCGGATCAGGTCGCGGATGGCTTCTTCGAGATGTTCTGCATCGATGATGAGTACGATCTTCTCGTCTTCTCGGATGAATGATCCGGCGTAGGTGTTAAATGCGTTGATCAACGGGATTGAGAGCGCCCCTTCAATATGTCCGGTTCGGAACTGATCCCAATCTCGTGTGTCGATGATTGCGATCGCGGATGCATCGATCTGTTGGAGTTCGTTCGAGTTCATGCGTGGAGGGATCGGCAAACCTCCCAGCACCTTTGGACCTTCTTTGTTTACTCGCTTCATGTTCGCGAAGTAGAGCGGCGGCTCGGGTTGTCCTGAGAGGATGAAGTCGACGAAATGCTGCTCGCTTGTCGCGGCTTGGATTGCGGAGTTGAAGCGGCGCTCGTATCCGATGGTGCTTGTCGGGACAGCGCCCAGGGCTTTGCCGCAAGCGGATCCTGCGCCGTGTGCGGGCCAAACCTGGATGAACTCAGGGAGCTGCTTGAGCGTTTCGAGCGATTTGTAGAGGCGTTTCGCGGATGGCTCCATGGCGCCTTGATGTCCTGCTGCGGTTTCGAGGAGGTCTGGCCTGCCGAGATCTCCGACAAACACGAAATCTCCAGTTGCGATCCCGATGGGTTCGGTTGCTCCCCCACCCCGATCGGTCACAAGAAACGCAATGTGTTCTGGGGTGTGTCCAGGTGTGTGGAGGACTTTAAAGTCGATGTTCCCGATGTTGAAAGTGTCGCCGTCGTGGAGGAGTTGGTGGTCGTAGCTACCGCCGATGGATTTCTTATCAAGCCATTGATATTTCCAATCCGCGTCGCCTTCATCGGAAACAAAGACCTTCGCTCCGACTCGTTCAGCTAGTTCTCGAGATCCCGAAACGAAGTCGGCATGGATGTGTGTTTCTGCTGTTGCGACGATTGTGAGGCTGTTGTGCTGCGCGAGCTGGATATAGCGATCGACATCACGCTCTGGGTCGATGACAATGGCTTCACCAGTTTTCTGGCATCCAATCAGATACGCTGCTTGTGCGAGCTTCTCGTCGTAAACCATTCTCATGAACATCGCGCGACTCCTTCTGGTTCGGTGCACAGCATCTTACAAGCGACTCCTCTGGTGGGCATTGTTCAATACTACCAAACTAGACCGATCATTCTAGTGTGTGAATCCCCGAAATTCAAGCATGAGATCCATTTGTTAAGAAATACCTTGAACCATTCTGTAGACAGTCAGTACATTGGATTCGTTGATTATCGGCCTTGGTAATCAGCAGCCACTGAGACTCTCTATCCCAGTGGTTCAGAATTCCTAGGGACCATGTGTGTCCCGAAACAACTTGTGAGGGTGACTATGAACAGGAAAGAACTTCTGGTTTCTGGCGCGATGCTCTTGCTCGCATCGACGGCT